TATTCTTACATGTACACATAAGTTTATACCCATTTCTTAACTACAGCAACGACACAATTCTATCTATAAAGAAATACGCTATTGAACATAATTAAGATTAGGTGAAAAGGGCTTAAACAATCATCTATATAACCGTTGTGTATATAAACAATTTCACATACCACAATATCTGTTGCAAAGTTTTGTTTGCACAAGAATGAAATTGCTCTTATGGAATAATATTCTCGAATTTCAACTTTATATAATTCTTAATGTATCATTAGTTAAATAGTCTCTAATATACAAATTTCTTTACACGGTGATCTTAATTTATCAAAACGATAACTTATGAAATAAATACATAGTCACCAGTTCTTAATATAAAAAACGTTATTCTGTACCTCTATAATAATGTTAAATAAATTTACAATTGCACCAAATAAGTTTTTAACATTCATGATCAGAAATGTTGATAAATCTAAACGGATATTTGATTAAAAAACCGGAACATTTCTTCATTGACTTCTGTTTTCAAATCCGTAATTTTCTAATTAAGAAGACTTCGAGAAAATATATATATACAGTCTGTCGTCATTTTTAACATAAATATTAAGTTAATAATTTAATGTTTCACACTGCAACTCAGTGGCTAAGCAATAATTTCGAGGGCTTACAACATTAAAAATCGATACCCGCGGTGGGCAGAGTACTGATAGCCCATTGTGTAGTTTTTATGCTTAATAATAAACAAACAGATCTTGCTTCAACATCTTCTCCCCTTTAACATTGTAGCATTTACTTTTTCAGCATTGTTTGTAACATTTATACGTGAAAGTGATATGTACAGTATTGTTAGTAAAGCGACAGTTCTCAGATTGAAATGGAAATATACATCCATATCAAAGTGCTTGTGAAATTAGAGGTTTAAGACTATAAGATGAGAATAAAACGATCTCTAGTGTTCAGATGTCTTACACAATTTCACGAGATTGATATAGGTACATATAAAGTTTTACACAAAGGAATGCCCAGTGTACAATATGTGACAAGTGATTATTGGATGTATGGTGTTTACCGTAAGTGCTTTCCTCGCCTTACAATAAAGTCATGCCAAGTTTGTTTGTTTTTTTCATTAATTTAAGTAACAGCTAAGAATTTACCAATTATATTTTTCAATCGACTAACTTTTTTTTCGAACCCATAAACTTAATGACAGTTAAGCTTTTCATGACCAACGACCGGAAGTGAGGTCTGTGCTATTTGTTCCTTTAATCAAAAGTTCATACTTTCCCTAGTCTTCATAAGATTGTGAACGTACGTCTCTTAACAAATATTATAAAAGCTCTGTTTGGAATAATTTGGAACATATTAATAGACAGGTTGCGAATTCGACTTACAATGTGACCTTGGTCCAAGTCGGAATGCAAGCATTTTACTCAATCATACTATTTAATTGAGTAGATTAAGTCTCATTATTCAAGACATTTTCTTGAATAACACTTCACAGGGTGTTCTGGAAAAATTGCTGACGCTGACGAATAACTTTTTTTTCTTTTTTTCTTTTGCAGAAATAGAAATTGAAGAATAATTTGTTTGTTTGTTTTTGAATTTCGCGCAAAGCTACACGAGGGCTATCTGCACTAGCCGTCCCTAATTTAGCAGTGAAAAAATAGAGGGAAGGCAGCTAGTTATCACCACCTACCGCCAATTCTTGGGCTACTCTTTTAGCAACGAATAGTTGGATTGACCGTCACATTATAACGCCTCTACGGTTGAAAGGGCGAGCATGTTTGGTGTGACGGGGATTCGGTTGGAAAATGATATTAAATAATTTCTAAATTATCCAGTCTCTGAAACTTTTAAAAAGGGATAAAAATGAAAGAAGTATTCTATTTAATTACTTTTTTACTTATACTATGCTAACTGAAGTGAATTAATATGAATTTACAGTTTCATAATGGAATATTTAAAGGTTTGAAGGAGTACATAACAATATTAATATAAGATAAAAACGTATTATTGTACTACTTTAAAATTGCATTCAGGAGTTCCTTAAAAGTTTAAATCTGACAACATATATACTAGAAGCCTCTCTAGTACATGATTTTCGTCCATTGGAAGCCTCGCGGAATGTTTGGTTTTCAGATTTATGGTTTTCTATCGTTCGTACTGTCTCCTTCTAGCACGCTGTCGACAAATACCACCGTGTTACAAAAGCCATTTTCACGTTTTTGAGTCACGCAATATGACTGTATACAATAGTGTTTGGCTAGTGGTTATGCTTGAAATTATATACATTATACAGAAAGCTGTAATAAAAAAAAAAACAGCTGAGTGCCAAACTCCAATTTTGATACATTTTACATTTCTTCTGAAAAAGCTCTTATTTTCGCTTGTATTTTTTGTATACATACATCTTGTGCTTCTCTGAATTTCATAAATTCCAAGTATACACCACTAAAATTTCACATTAAAATATGCTCTCAGAACATTTGTACACTTGTTTCTCCCAGGATGTCGTTCTTTGAAGTCATTTTTATTCAATATGAATTGTAGTTTCCTAAAAGAATACAGATCAGTAGAACAAAATACTCGAAATTCGGTTGTTGTAAGACTTTTTTGTACAAGGGAGATACACAAGTCTAAGAAACCAAAATGTTATTTGCACGGTTCCAAACATTTCTAAGGAGTAGGAGGTAAGCTCAACATTAATTCTTAAGCCTTTATCACAGGGTTATGTATCCTTTGGTGTAAGTATGATTTAATAAATGCTTTTATAACTTCTGCTCTTAATAAATTTCTGAACACATCATCTCTTGGAATGAAACGTTTTGTTCATACGTAAGTTCAACACTTAGATTGTAGACAGAGGAACATGCACAAACAAAATCAGGTTCATTTGCAAGGCAACCTTATTTATGAAGCTTCTTAAGACAAATTAGTGATCTTGTGAAGTTGAAAGGTAACATCCGCTACGTCTTCCTAATTTGTCAGCCTCGAGCTACTTTGCGCCAGCATTCATTTATCTGTTTAATAAGTTTCTGTATAACTTGGTTTGCGTGTAGCTTAAAGCTCTGTAAAAAAGTTCTTTCTTTCGGAATGTTATGCGAATAATTGGAATATCATTTTACATAGAAATGATCTGCATGTACGTGTATCTGTTCTGTTTTGTTTTTTGTTTTAATTTGTCAAGCGCTGGATCTTTTTGCACCTTTTTTGAAAGTATTAACAAGATGGTGACAAAATATTGAGAAAAAGTAAAAATGTTATACTTAACACATACTTACAGATTTCGCAATAATACTCACAATTCGGTTTGTCTTGTTGGTGATAGATACTGTATAACATAACCCAGAAACGTCGGGATGTATATTGTTCCAATATATTCACAAAAGGTCGCTATCAGTATGTTTCAAATTGACCTAACTCGAAGAAAACTGACAAATTAAGGCAAAAAAAAATATTCAAATTGTTCTTACCGAGCACGTTTTACTACAAAGCTGCATCGTCTATTGCTTGGAAACAAACGTACACTATATATATATATATATACGTATGCGTACTTGTGTGTGTGTAAGTTGTTACACAAATATAAAATTGCACATTCAATCATCGTCACTTACAAACGGACTAAACATTTCAGCACAATAAACCAGTTCAGAATAATAAACTAGTACTGAAACCGCGCACTACAACATAAACAGGTATGAGAAACCCTACCGATTGCAGAACTCTGATGAAGATATAACTCCAGAAAGATAGCTACAGAAAAAACACCGAAAGAACATTGGGAATATTCTGTATCTCAAACGCAGGTGAAGAACTAGTCATGAGAAAACAATGAATGCGGAGTGTTCAAATTCACAAAGCCTAGGTTTCGACTAATATTCACCATCCGTAGCCAGCACTGGGTATAGTAGTAACTTTTCTATGGTAATAACCTTTCATTTTAGAAGTGCAAAAGCCAAAGTGTAGTACTATATAACCCTCCTCTACAGTGTACGATGAAGTGCAATAAAGGTTTCTGTATTATCTATAACAATGAACCAGTTGTAATGTTTTTTCTAACTGAAACAGTAGTTACCTCTTTATTAACCTTTAACTTTTTCACTCAGTACAATAAAGTGCATGCAGTTGTTTTGGTTATAATCTTTTATTTATTAATAGACATATTTTTGAATTATCAAAGCATAATTTTACCACAGATCAATGCAAAACTTTATTTTGTTTTCATATATTTTTAATAACTATATTATGTTCAATCATCGTCAATTACAAACGGACTAAACAATTCAGCACAATAAACCAGTGCAGAATAATAAACTAGTACTGAAACCGCGCACTACAACATGAACAGGTATGAGAAACCCTACCGATTGTTTAAGCAACAAACTGTCGTACTATGGGACCAATTATATTAATATTTATTTGTGAATCATCATACTAATACTGAGAATTTTAACTTTACTGTTCATTGTATTAACGATTCTGTTTCTACTAATAATTTAGGTTTCAGGCAAACACTTAACATACCACAAAACATACTGAACACTATTTAGACTTAGACTTCTTATATAATTCAGATTAGACTTTTTCATAAAAGACGAGAATTTAATAACCAGATGAGGGGTGATGATCTCACAGTCAAAACGTTACTCTTTAATTTGTAAATAATGGTCTATTTTTTGTCTTTGGATATAGTTTCGCTTTTAATTGATAAATTAATTTACAATCAGTTTCAACGTGAGCAATTTCAAAGTTTATAAAATCTTTACGCGTTTCTCTAAGTTTCATCTTTTCCCACTGTTTTAAAGGATATTCATTTTACAGACGGTGTTTTAATAGCTGTGTCTGTTCAAGTAAAGAATCAGTCTCAAAATAACAAGCTCTGAGTAGCTGGCATGGCCAGGTGGTTAGGAAGCTCGACTCGCAATCTGCGGGTCGCGGATTCGAGTCCCCGTCCCACCAAACATGTTCGCTCTTTCAGCCGTGGGTGTGTTATAATGTGACGGTCAATCCTACTATTCGTTGGTAAAAAAAGTAGCCCAAGAGTTAGCGGTGGGTAGTGATGACTAGCTACCTTCCTTCTAGTGACCTAGCACAGATAGCCCTCGTGTGGCTTTGCGCGAAATTCAAATTTTACTGCATTTCATCATAATCTCTTTTATTTTATTTTTGCAATTATAAAATGAAAGTTTACTATCACAGTGAGATTACTACCATAACCATAATTGACTAAGGATGATAATTGTAGTCAAAGCTCAGGACATTGTCGATTTAAGTACTTAACGCTTTACCTCGTATTCAGGTGTGTTTTTCATGACTGAAAATTTGGGAGATAAGTGGAAAGTGGAGATATTCCCAACTTTTTTAGGGTGCTATCAACGCAGAATTATATCATTTGCCGTGTTCTACTATTTGTATAATTTCTTTTAGTTGTTATTGTTCGATTCTACTGCGCAGTTTCAATTCAAATTATATATATATATATATCGATAAATTAAGGACTGAAAACAAATCTTATAGAACATATGATTTTAAACTATTGAGCTTCATTAGTTTTACACGTTGTACCATTAAGTGACTGTTACACAGTATATGGATAAAGCTCAATACAGGCCTTGAAACAATACATATAATGTTCAATAGAATCCTTCGTCAGAAATATACGAAATACCTTTCTGTAACGTAAGGTAATTGATTTAATCAACACATGAGAGTCAGATATTTTATACGAATCTCTTTCTACATGATTAAGATCAGTCTATCAAAATTCGTTGAACGATTTTACGTTTGTTATCTTAACAATTCTATAACTTTAGAAGATAATCAAAATTAGACGGAGTATTATTCTACATATTTATGTCGTTTTGTGATACACCTACAACTTCAACAATCAATGAAGTAATTATTACAGATCCTGTAAGAAAACATGAAATAAACAATTATTTCTTTTAAATATTTATTAATTATATAAAAGGACAATGATCATATACTCTATAACCTTTGAATTTTAAAAACTTGTAATTTGCATTGTTACTATTCGTTTAAGATAATAATTATTTGGCATTTTAGCAATGCCCTTTTGGCTTTGCATGGTCCGGTGTTTAAGGCACTAGAATCACAATCGCATCTTATTACCGAATATAATCGCCCTTTTAGCCGTGGGGGCATTATAACTTGACGATCAATCCCACTATTTGATTAGAATGAGTAACCCAAGAGTTGACAATGGGTAGTGTTGATCTATCACTTCAAGTACTGATAGCCCTCGAGTAGCTTATGTTTGTTTGTTATGGATTTCGCGCAAAGCTACACGAGGGCTATCTGCGCTACCCGTCCCTAATCTAGCAGTGAAAGACAGCTAGGGGGAGGCAGCTAGTCATCACCACCCACTGCCAACTCTTGGGCTACTCTTTTACCAACGAATAGTGGGATTCAC